TCCTGCTACTTTCTAGGACCCAGGGCACCTCCTGGAACCCTGTAGGTGTTCAGCGTACGTCCACTCAGTGAATGAGCAAATGACTGCGTGTTGTTAATTATTTCTCAGCGTTGGTGGGACTTGAACGGATTGAAGATTTGGGGAAAGCGTGGGTTTGTTTGACCCAGGCAGTCTCACTTCTGGCTCTAGCTTTGCATCACTGCTGGGACGTTCCCCTCTCACTTCAGGGGACTCGCACAATAGACTTATTTTAAAAGAGTTAAGGTTGCCCAAATATTGCTCAGAATTGGGTCTCAGAGCTAGAGGTTTCCAGGGAGGATTGCAATCCAGGTGCCTCTTTGCAGAGTCTCTGTGATTCTGTGTGTGATCTCAGTGTTCACGCCCTGCGCTTGTCAACAACTCCGGAACCTCGAGCCACAAGCAAAGGCAGGTGCTTCTCTTGCAGAATATTCAGGGTTTGCTCCCTGATGGCACGTCCGGAACCTAGGGCATAATTTGCAATCAAAGTAACTTGGAGCCCCCCTTTTGAATGAATGCACAGGTTTACCCTCATCCATTTTCCTTTCAGTTCTTCAGGGTCTTGGCTTCAGGGAGCACAGGGCTGTGTCATAGCCGGGACTGAGGTGGGGCCCGTCTGTGTGATGTCACATTAGGTGGCGGCTGAAGACACACACTTCCCTGAGCGCGGCAGCGATGCCCCCATGCCCCCCTGCTTTAAAGCGTGGTGACTTCAGGTGCGTTACTACATCACCAGCGAAGGGCTGTCTTGTGAGTCATGAAGCTCTAACGCTGCTTGCATCTCTTGAATTAACAATAAAGACCCATGATCTGTTGAAGGAAGGAGAAGAGTGAAGCTATTCAGCAGATTTCCACGACCCAGTTGTCCCGCTGGATTAAGGTCAATTTCATCTCTCTGCCCTGGGCTTCATCTTCCCCAGACGGCTTGTCCTGGGTAATGGCTAAGGGCACAGAGACACTCACAGTTGCCACCAAACTTCTGAAACTCCCGAGCAGTGGGAAGTGGGGCCTGTGAACCCACGTGACCGCCGACTTAGTGAACGGGTGCAAGCCGCAGGCGTCTTTTCTGAGGCCTCATGTAAAATGCCCCAGAGACGGGGAAAGAGGGGAAACGTGCTCTCTGGTTTTGGTCTGCTGCTAACTTCGTTTGGTCTTTTGAGACGAGTAACGTAGTGTTTCCGGGCCTCCAGCATTTTCTCGTGTCTGGAATCAAGATCATGGCAATTCCTCTACCCGTCCTCATATGTGGAACGTGAGGACAAAATGGAAAATTGCCGCGAGGCCTGGGAGCTGCTCTGGGTACAGGCTGCAGGGCTGTGCACTCCGTCCTGGTGGGGCTTTTCCGTGAGCCGGGACCGGCGTTGTCCGGGTCGGCACCTCACGGTGCGTGGTTACCAGGAGCTGGGGCCTGTGCGGGGCGAAGCTCTTTACAAACGTCCGTCTAAACCCCGCGGAGACCCAGCAAGGTGGCTTCTTGTTTACAGTCAGAGTTATTTCAGTTTCCAGGGACACGAATCCCACTCATGTTCGCTGAAGCCAGAAACAGACTTCTTAGCTCGCAGACATCACAAGCCCTGGCTGGGGGTCACTCACCCAGGGCACTGTCTCCTCTCTTTCTAGGTTTTGCTCTGTGTTGGCTTCACTTTCTTCTCCCGAGGACAAGCTTTCCCTTGATTTCAGCTCCCTGACCCACCCACCTGGCCGAAGCCTTTCTCCTGCATCACCCTTCAGTGGGAGGACCTGGCCTGGGGCCGTGCTCTCAGGACCAGGCGCTGGGAAGGTGGGGCGTGGGCTGGGCTGGAGCAACCCTGTGACTTAATCCCACTACCCTTTATGACTGTGGAGCCAGTGTATATTTGTTTCAGGAAATATAGAAACTGGGCATAGCTAGATAGAAGACAGTAAAAACCTGTCTCTGATCCAACGTCCACAAACACCAGTCCCTTCTGAAGAACCTTTTCTTTGTGAGCTCTGTATCATGTTTCACTCATAAGGCGTAAATACATACATACATACATAAATTGTACGTAGTGCAAGAACTTGCTATAATAGGGATTTTTATCTGAATGTTTTCAGAGCTGTTTTTTCTAGGTTCTCTGGTTAACATTTATTCACTCATCATCCATCAAGCCTTTTCTGGGAGCCCTGGCAGAGCCCATCCCTGTGCCAAGGTTAGAACGATTAATGCATCTCCCTGTCGTGAATCCACATTCTCATGGAGAAGGATGACACACATGAATATGAGGTGCTGAAATACGACATTCTGTGCAAACATGGACCACACAGTTGCTGACCTGGGAAGTGAGGAAGGTAGTGTCTGTGACAGCAGGTCCCTGGGGGCCTGGGAATGAGCAAGAATTCTGGCTCAAAGGAGGAGAGGTGGCTCTGGGTGGCAGGGACTGTGCGGGCAGAGACCCTGAGGTGGGAATGCATATGCAGATGTACCTACACGGGGGTTACGTGCACAGATACACCTGTGTAGGGGTTACGCGCACAGATACACCTGTGTAGGGGTTACGCGCACAGATACTCCTGTGTAGGGGTTACGTGCACAGGTACATCTGCATGGGGTGTACACACAGATACACCTGTGTAGGGTTTACACACAGATACACCTCTGTAGGGTTTTTACACACAGCTACACCTCTTTAGGGTTTGTACACACAGATACACCTGTGTAGGGTTTACACACAGACACACCTACATGGGGTTCACATGCACAGACACACCCACGCAGGCTTTACCGGGGCGTGGCAGCAGTTCTGTGCTTGTGCGAAGGAGGGAGAGGACTTCTGGGCAGAGGAGGGAGAGATGAGGGCGGCGGAGACTTGGGAACAGATGGCTCAATGCCTCATTTACCAGCCTAAGGAGTTTGGACTTTGAGAATAGCTATTACGTAAAAGCTTCTCTTTAGGAAATTCTCTAATTTTACTTCCTCCAGTGAAGCCCTGCCAGAAGGTTCAGGCGCCGTTACCCCCTAAATCAGGCCCACACAGACAGCACCGGCAGGAGCCCATCCCCGCCACGACCTGCCCTGTGTCTCTATCTGCTTTACTCTCAGAGCTGGGGGCGTCCTGAGTCACTAGAATTCTGCTCGCATCCCAGGATGCGCTGGGCAGGGGACCAGACATGGGAGTGCCTCGTAGGCGTCCACTAGCCCAGTGCACGGATGCCGCAAAGTCGAGCGCTTCACGCTCAGAACTGTTAACAGACAGAAGGGCGCAGAGCATTGGGCCCAGTGCTTGGTGGCTTGGGTGCTGAGGCCGGACAGCGGGTCCCCGTCTGGCTCTGCCACCTACTAAGTGCGGGGCTGATTAATTGTATGGTGACATCGGTTCACATCTCATTTCCTCTTTGGTAAAACGGGGCTAAAAACTACGACCCCACAGAAGGGTGGCTTGCGAGGGTCGCGTATGTCCCAGTGATGTAACACACGTGACAGCAGTCCCTGTAAAATAGAATAGGTGTGAGCTGTTTCATGATCACTCGCGCATTCAGGTTATGTTACAGCCCGTTGAGTCTTAGAAATGTCCTTCATGAAGAGCAGATTAAAAATGATAGGTTGTAATCTGGCAGAATAGACCCTGATTAACGTCACCAGACCTGCTGAAGGACGTCACTTCCCCTCTTAATTATTCAACACACCAGGCTGCTCACCAGCCCCGCCCATCCCCAAACCTCACGGAACATACGGCCTACACCCGGCTTGGGGGTCCTCTCATCCAGGTGATGGGTGTCTCCTCGGCCGAAGCGTGTACAGAACCTTGCACACAGGGACCCGGGCCCTGCGCCCTCCGCGTCTCCCAAGACCACGTGGCACCCAGCTTTTAGCAGCCAGACGGCCAAGCTCCCAGGATGACTGAGGAATGAAAACCTATTTTGTGAATGATGCTTCCTTGTGGCGGCGTTGGACTCCGTGTTCCAGGCACGCCGCTATGATGGCCTTGCTAGGGCCAGACCACGGACTGTGACGAGTGCAGAGAACGTGGGAATCAGGGCTGGGGTGAAGGTCACTGGCTGCCCTCCCCACCCCCACCGAGGCATCCGCTCCCACCCACCTGCATCCCTGCGCACCCAGAACCGCCACCTCATTTTAATTGGGCCCAAGGAAGAAGGAATCAGCAATATTTGTAGGAACAGCTGAAGGGAATCAACACATTCTATGATCAAACAGATATCCTGACATTCCCTGCAAGTTTCTAAGATTCGATGATGTTTCTTCTGTTTGTGGTTTTCTTTGTGAATTAACCCCAGGAGTTATTGGCTGTTCACTATGTGAACAGGGTCGTGCTGGTGTGTGGGAAGCAGGCGGCGGGCAGGGCACAAGTGGTGGTTCCAGGACTCTGCTGTCACAGGCGTGTGGCTGGACACACGGATGAGATACGTGTCGGGCGTGACTTGGAGAACACTGAGGAGGAATCGGCTACAACAATAGGTGCTACAGACATTTAGATAAACTTCCTAAGTCTGTTCATTAATATTAAAAAAATGACTAATTATTTGAAACGGAGAGTCTCTTTAGCAACCTATATTATTCTAATGAAGCATATTTAATTTTAAATAACCTGATATCCACCTTAAGCACAAAAATAATGTCCACATTTGGGAAATCATAGACAATCTTCTTTAAGAAATTCATATTGGGCTTCCCTGGTGGCGCAGTGGTTAAGAATCCGCCTGCCGATGCAGGGGACACGGGTTCGAGCCCTGGTCTGGGAAGATCCCACATGCCGCGGAGCAACTAAGCCTGTGTGCCACAACTACTGAGCCCACGTGCCACAACTACTGAAGCCCGTGTGCCTAGAGCCCGTGCTCCACAACAAGAGAAGCCACCGCAATGAGAAGCCTGCACACCAAAATGAAGAGTAGTCCCCCGCTCGCCGCAACTAGAGAAAGCCCGTGCGCAGCAATGGAGACCCAGTGCAGCCAAAAATAAACAAATAAAAATAAATAAATTTATTTAAAAAAATTCAAATTGAGAGTGAAGAAAGTCATAGAGAGACTAAAAAATTCTGTTTAGATATTTACAATGTGGAGAAGAAATGTATAGCCTTCAGGGAGAAATGCTACCTAAGTTATATTTAAAGCAGACTTGTTCCTGTTAAAATATTTTCTCACTACAGTCAGGAGGGAGCCTGTTACTACACCCCACACCTCCACCGACAGATCCCCTCCCGTCGCTACATGGGGCGAAGATGCTGCCGTTCATCTGACTGTAACAGACCCCAGAAGCAGTGCTCAGGGAAGAAATCCTTCCTGATGCCTCAGTCGGGCGGGGAGTTGCAGTTATTTTGCCGTCACCAGGGTGGGTGCTGGCACAGAGTCCTCCAGGAGCCCCTTAGGGGAACTCTGATGCTGGAGCCAACTGCAACATGGGGGGACGTCCCCTTGCAAATCCCGGACCTCCAATCCAAAGAATCTGACCCTAAGTGTCTTGGCAGACTTGCAGTGCTCAGAGGACATACACAAAATGGGCTGGCTTCTTCCCATCCATTTTAAGGCCAAATCACAGTAATGGGCCATGCTGGGGAAAGAAGATATAGCTCCAAATGCTGACTTTCTTTAACATCATTTGAAAAAGGAAGTGGCCCCTCTGCTTAATTTCCTTATTTTTCCTGTGGAAGCTGACCCTCTACCCTGCCAGGCGGGCAGGGGCCAGGACCTGTCACGCTGCAGAAGCTTCCTTCAGAAAGTGGACCTGCTGGGTGGCCTCCCAGCTCTTGGGATCCAGCATCACTGCTGCCTGCGTCGCAGTGACAGACGGTCTTCTGTCTCACCTGACAACACTCAGGTGTTCGGCATCACCTTGGCTGGGTGGGTGAACAGGGACTCCTGACCTGGTCACGGGGCAGAGAGCCAGCTGAGTGGGTGAGCAGCTGTCACACTTTGGATGGGATTACATGGCTGTGCCCAGGTCTCGGACCACCCCCGGCTCTGCCAGCCTGGTCTGTGATCCATGCCAGGGGCGCACAGGGAGCTGGCAAGGACGTGCCTGCTTGGACCACTGACCACCTGGGTCATATTTGTGTCATTGTGGACATGCAGCTCTTGCTTCTTGTAGCTATGACAAAATGTCTACTTAGCCTGATTCTTTCAGGCTTTAAACGGATTCTGTAGAGCTTTGAAAACCTAAGAATTGCAGACTTAGGTTTTTCAGTGTGTCCTATTCCCTGCATTTCTTTTGAGTCTGTGACGACTTCCACGAAGAGAACTCTCAGAGGTTGGGCTTCTGCACGTCCCGATGAGAGTCAAGCCAGAGAAAGAACCAGGAAGTGCTGAAACCCTTCTCCTGGCCAAGAAAAGAAAAAAAAAAAAGTAGTTAGTTTTCTGAGGTCCAAGGTCTTCTGCATCATACAGAGAAAGTGTGAAAAGAATGAAGCAAATAAGAGAGCCAGTTCTCTGATTTTATTTCAGACATTGACGTTTATATGTATATTTGGGAAAGATATGTATATGTCTTACTTTTTATCTGACTTTCTCTTGAATGACTCAGCTGACTAAGAAAGCACCTCTGGCGTTTGGGAAGAGGCCAGAAGCTTTGCTTATAAAATCTGTGCAGGTTTCCAGTTTGTCATCACATTCCGGTCGCTGTGGGCCAGAGTGCATTTCCATCTCAGTGGACGCAGGACCTCCCCAGCAGCATCACGGGCTGGGGCACAGCTGAGTAAACACGTGGCACCTCCGTGACCCACATGCCCGTGGTCAGAGTTTCAGCTCATCCCGACTGTCTCCATGCTGCCTTTCCACATGTCCTAGACAGTGCCCTGCACCCGGTGAATATGCCCCAAAGGTTACTGTTAAAGATTTCTGTAAAACAAAGAGAGAAAGAGAGAGGGAGGGGAAGAGAGACAGAGAGACAGAGAGAGAGGCGGGGAGGAAGGGAGAGACAGAATTGAATGTCTTGAATCTCCACCTCTAACACACTTGTATTTCTGAGAATAATGGGAAAGTCTTTTTCGTAACACGGTAGCAAAAAGAGCAGGCAAGCATATATTTTTATACACACCCATTCTCTCAACGCTGAGCATTTATAGGGATCAGGTAACAGTATTAAGTACGATTAGTAGAAAATCAGAAGAGGTTGAGGGTAGGTGGTTAAGTATCCCTTTATCCCATTTGAGAGGTGAACATACCCTATAATGATGACGCATCTGAGCTGTATGTATTTGGTCCGTTTCTCTTGTCCGCAGCCTCTTCTTAGGAAAACCAGAGCCCAGTTTGCCCCTCCCCTTGTGCTAAGAGCCCCCTTCTAGGCTGGGGAGTCTCAGTGAAGGTTTTGCCAATTAGGAGAGATAATTTATTATTTTTTTATAATTCATCTGCAGGTGCTCACATCTGCCTTCCAAGTAGTTCCGTGGATTTTGTTTTGTTTTGTTTTGTTTTGCCTTGGCTTTTCTTTTGCTGCACGTGTGCTCTTTGGAGAATTGCTTCTCTGAGGTTTTTCAGAGCTACAGAGCCAGGAATGAGCCGTTCAAATAGATTCCAGAGTTGGAGCCTCCGAGGCCAACTCCAGAGAAGGGTCCTCAGCACCTTTCTCCAAATATTTGTTGTAAATGAATTTGAGATAGTTGGCTGGAAAAGATTTCAGGAAAACTGTCCCACAATAAAACTGAGGTTTCATAGGCGGGCCATGCTTTCTCACTGAAAGTTCTCAATTTTACATACACATCTCATTAGGTCGAAATGAGGAAGTGGTTGATATTTGACTGCCATTGTATTGACACACAAAACCCAGCAATTTCGTATGGTTCAACCCAATGTATTTAAGGCTCATGGCTGAATTGGGCTCTTCTTTATAGGCCTCAAAAATCAGGGGAGGAACGGTTTTTTAATATCTAAATAATCCCATATGTTTTATTCACCAAACTTTCCAGCACTGAAAAGTCACAATCCCCATTCCCACCCTATCTGAATCCTATAACCTGAAAATTGTGGAGGGAAATGGGGTAGCTGCCACTGACACAAGATAGCCCTATGGAAAAATGCAAATTCCAACATTCTGTCTCTTTCTCCTATAAACAGGAACACAAAGAGCATGGTGACATGACATGGAAACACCTGATATTCCAACAAAGGAAGTCGCAGAGGAAGCCTCCCGATGGATGAAGGAGGAAAGCCGGTCTAGTGTGTGCAGTAACTGTGTCTTCCTAACACCCACCTGGCGACTGAATCATGCCCTCCCCGCTTCCAGGTGAACATTGTCGAGGCAGGCCCATCAGGAGCGCTGCCGAGGCCAGGACACACACAGATATTGTCCGGCTGACCATCCATAAACCTTAATCGCACATGGGAGTCACGCACAAAAAACAAGCTCCCTGGGGCGGCTCCCTGTGAAACAGCAGTAAAGTCAGTGTTCTGAAGTGTGGACTGCAGCCCGTCTCTGATTCGTTGGTCCTCAGAGACAGAGATGTGATGGAATGTGGAGGGATAAACACTGACTCAGGAAGAAAGGGCAGGCCCAGTTCCTTAAGAGCACCTGACAGCTCAGTTCCGCAGAGCAGGAGCTACAGACAGAGCCGCGGCTGCGGCTGCAGGGCGGTCCTGTCCGTGGACTGATCATCACCACGCGGTGCGGAGACCGAGCCACAAAGACCCCTGCAGACGGCCGCCGGGCGGGAACCTTGCCAAGTTCACAAGTTCAGCCGGGAGCGCGCTCGAGTCGACACACCCCTTTCGCCGGAGAGGAGAGCGGGCGGGCGCGAGGGGAGCTGCGTGCGATTGAAAACCAGTGTGGACACAAGTGAAATCTGATCGCGCGCCAGCAGAAGCGTGTGAAGCCAGGAGCCCCGGAGGAGCCATCGACCTTGGGCAGCCCGAATCCGGGCGAAGTCATGCCGGGCTGCTGAGCGGGGACGGCAGCCGGAGCGAGCGCTCGCATGGAGAGCCCGGTGGCCCCCTGCGTCCTCTACCCGGGGGACGGAGCGTGCGGCCAGGCCGGGGGCCGGGGCGGCGCTCCCGAGGCTCCGGGAGAGGGCGGCCTGCAGCCGCCGGACGCGGCCGGGGGGGAGGGCGCTGCGTCTCCGGCGCAGATACCCTGCAGTCTCAGCGCGTCCCTCTGCTTCAGCTCCGGGGACGATTCCCCGCCCTCTTGTCGCCGCGGCCGGCGGGTGGTGCAGAGGCAGTGGGAAGTCGGCAGCGCGGGCGCCGCGTCCCCGGAAGGGCGCGCGTCCCCTGAGGATCCCGTGTCCCCCGAGGAGCGCACGTCCCCAGAAGAGTCCGCGTCCCCGGAAGATCCCGCGTCCCCCGGGGAGTGCCCGCCGGCCGAGGAGCCCACGTCCCCGGAAGAGGCCGGGGACGCCCCGCCTGTGCCCCCCGGCGTCGGGCCGGAGCACGGGGAGCCCGACCTGCTCATCGAGGTGTCTGGCCGCCGGCTGCGGGCGCACAAGGCGGTGCTGGCGGCGCGCAGCGACTACTTCCGCGCGCGCGCGTCGCGGGACGTGCTGCGGGTGCAGGGCGTGGGCTGGGCGGCGCTGCGGCTGCTGCTGGCCTACGCGTACAGCGGGCGCATGGCGGGCGTGCGGCCCGACAACGTGGCCGACGTGGTGGCCGGCGCGCGCCGCCTACAGCTGCCCTGCGCCGCGCAGCGCGCCACTGACGCCGTGGCGCCGCAGCTGAGCTTGGCCAACTGCTTCGAGGTGCTGAGCGCGGCCAAGCGGCAGCGGCTGGCCGAGCTGCGCGAGGCCGCCTACCGCTTCATGAGCGACCACTACCTAGAAGTGCTGCGCGAGCCCGCCGTCTTCGGGCGCCTGTCGGGCGCCGAGCGCGACCTGTTGCTGCGCCGCCGCCTGCGCGCCGGCCGCGCCAGTCTTCTGGCCGCCGCGCTCGGCCCGGCCGGGGAGCGCGCGGGCAGCCGGCCGCAGAGCCCGTCGGGGGACGCGGAGGGCCGAGGCGACGCCGCCGTCTACTGCTTCCACGAGGCGGCCGGCGAGTGGCGCGAGCTGACGCGGCTACCCGAGGGCGCGCCGGCTCGCGGCTGCGGGCTGTGCGTGCTCTACAACTACCTCTTCGTGGCCGGCGGCGTGGGGCCCCCGGGCCCCGACGGCCGCGCGCGGCCCTCGGACCGGGTCTTCTGCTACAACCCGGCCACCGACCGCTGGAGCACCGTGCGGCCGCTGCGCCAGGCGCGCTCGCAGCTGCAGCTGCTGGCCCTGGATGGCCACCTGTACGCCGTGGGCGGCGAGTGCCTGCTCAGCGTGGAGCGCTACGACCCGCGCGCTGACCGCTGGGCCGCCGTGGCCCCGCTGCCCCGGGGCGCCTTCGCCGTGGCGCACGAGGCCACCACCTGCAACGGCGAGATCTACGTGTCCGGGGGTTCGCTCTTCTACCGCCTGCTCAAGTACGACCCGCGGCGCGATGAGTGGCAGGAGTGTCCGTGCAGCAGCAGCCGCGAGCGCTCGGCCGACATGGTGGCCCTGGACGGCTTCATCTACCGCTTCGACCTGTGCGGGGGCCGCGGCGATGCGCCGGGGGCCGGGCCTGCGGGGGGGGTCAGCGTGTTCCGCTACCACTGCCTAGCCAAGCAGTGGAGCCGCTGCGCCTCGCACCTGCGGCCCCCGGGCGCGCCGTCGGGCCTACAGCCCTTCCGCTGCGCCGCGCTGGATGGCACCATCTACTGCGTGAGCCGCGCGGGCACCTGGCGCTTCGTGCCGCCCCTGGACGGCGAGCCCGGCGCCGGCGACGCGGGCCCCGAAGGCAGCTTCAAGCTCCAGTCACTCCGATCCCCCGCGGACGCCCGGGGCCTGTTCTTCCCGTTCGTGCTCAACCTGCCGGAGGAGAAGCCAGACCGAGGCGAGGAGGGCGCCGCGTAGGGTGGGCCGGGTCACCCGGGCGTGTCCCTCGGCAGCCCTGGGCCAGGGGACGCCCCGTGGGCCGAGGTCCCAACTGGGAAACTGGAAGGGGCGAGGGGAGTGGAGGCGGGGAGGGAGAGAGTCGGGGGTGGGCCCCGGCGGGCCCCGCCCAGCCCACGGGATCCTTTAAAGGCTTAGAAGGTAGAAGCTTGTCGCGGGGCCTTGAAGACCTTTTGCCATGCTGTATTAAGGCCCGCTGCCTAGTCTGCATTCCTTTTGCTTTGCTTTGCTTTGCTTAATGGGGTCGACGGTAAGATGTAGGATGTGTGCAGATAGATAACCTTACAAATAAGATACAAAATACCTGAGAAAGAAAGAAACAGAATGAGAGATGAAGCCTCCGGGTGCAGTGGGTGAGGCCTGGAGTGTACCGGGGTGTACTGTCCTCGATATCACTCGCGGAGTGGCCGGGAGGCCAGACCTGAGTTGTGTGGGGTACCAGGTACCGTTGCTTCCTGCACCATGAGAGGGGACCTCGGGGCCACCTCCCAGAGCTGAGATCCCAAATTAGGCCAACGTGAACTATATTAGTGGAAGGACTGAAAGAAGGTCATACTTTTTTCGGCTTGAGGTTTAAAATTATAACTGGTAAGTAAAGCTTTTAAACCCTTTCTAACTTAGCTTAAAAGTTCCTGCCACGTGTGCTTAACTTGCGGTTGGCTCCATTCCAAATGTAGTAAGTATTAAGGGTGAAATCTTTGATTCCCAATAAGATTTGTCCAGTGAGAACTGAAAGTATCTCCTCTGTCATCAAGGGGCCCAGATATGGTCAAAGGCCCACACACCTCAAGAGCAAGTCCTTCTCACCGCTTAACTGAGATGGGTTTAATATCTTCAAGTTAAGAGATGTTAATAATTCTGTTCAGTGATGTAGTAACGAGTTGCTCTTATTTGAATTCTAAATCTTCGGTGACTGAATGTTTTCCAAGGCGCATGTCATCAGTAGGAAAAGCTGACAGTGGCCATGGTGCCTGTCTGCTTTAAAAGGAGCATTTGGCACCCACCAGGTGTGCCCAGCCGCTTTGATATTTCATAGTGGGCTCAGAAAGAGTAGTATCCCCCCCCCCACCCCGCAAAAGAAGGTTAAAATCCTTTCTTTTTGAGAGTTCTAAAGAATAACATACAGGCACAGTTGAACCCACTACTTATGATGTTTTAAATATGAATTCTGTCATCCTGATGAGGGAAATTCATTTTTACAAGCATCAGTCTAAGAAATTGTGGCAGAGTGACAGCGTAGTAACGTAAGGGGAAATAACATATATGTATAACGTAGTTTAGCAAGTAAACTACACTTTTCTAATTGTGAATTCCAGAATACCGTAGTAGAAGTAACATGAAATTCAGTACTTTGGTAGGGCACAAGGATGAAAAACAAATCCGTTGATCTTTCCTCATTTGTTATAATATTTTACTTTCCAAGTGTGTACACACAGGGCTTACTGTTTATTAAAATTTTAAGGATAAAGTGTATACGCTCATAAATAGAGGCCAAGTGATCTGCATTCTGAGTCCAATCTACGTTTTTTTTTATTACAATAGGAAAAGTACACATTGAAAGGTATTGGCACATAAGTAGATGAAGTTATGTGTACCTTACTATGATTTACTCGTGGATCCAGTGATGGGGGGGTTACCTCTGTCTGTGCCAATCAGTGGGTATGTGGGACATAGGTTATGCTTTTTAAAGAGTCTGTGGTTATGAAAGTGATCAGTTAAGCTGTTTAGGAATGATAGCTTGAATCATGCTTGCGCCAGAGCACGGTATTTACCGTTTCAGCGGGTGCATCCTGGTGACGTGTGTGCCTGCCCGTCACTGCCCCTGGCCTGAGACGATGCTCGGCAACTTGGTCCATCGTCTTAGGAAAGAAAAACAGGCTTCAGATTGCCTGACTTCTTTGGCCTTTTGGTAGGAATAGACTGGAGACGTGGCAGGAGGAAAAGAATTGAAATCCAAAATAAATAATGTCCTTCTAAAGACATGAGCATTTCATATGATAGTACATTTTTCTCTAGACTTTCATTATTTATGGTAAAACTTTTACATGAAATGGAACCAAGCTAATATTTTCATTCCTTCCGTATCAAACTCATGAGATATTATCACTGTGATTTTACTTGAGAAATCATTCCTATGATGTTTACCGTTTCAAAACATCAGCGCTGAAAGTGGGCTTCCAAAGTAAACTCTCCCCGTAGAAGATGGGAGACCTGTTAGATGTCACGTGTGCACAGCCACACGATAACATGCCCAGCTGGAGTGTTTGTATATTATTTCATCCTTTAATTGAACGAAGAAATGCCTGGACTAGACGTAGCATCACTTTCTGTGGGAGCTGGCCCCGGAGTCCCAGGGATTTGTCAGGATGAGATGCCCGAGGATGCCTAAGGATGGGTAGAGGATTTAGAACCTTGCAGACCACACTTCTACTAGTAATATCACTGAGAACAGATACCAGAGCACCTGGCATGCTGAGAGGACCAGTTTAATTTGCTTTTGGAGGCCAGTACCTGGGGTGTAGGGCCAGGAGGGTGGTGCACCGATTATACCAACGGAAAAGCCACCCCATGCAAGATCCTCGGTTTGGAGGACAGCTAGGGGAGGGGCAGCCCTGGCTGAGACTTCCCTCCAGGTCTGATGTTCCGAGGACGGATCATGTCACATTCAACGTGATGTGCCAAGTCTGTATGCAGCTCTATTTAGAGAAACAGTTGGTGCAAAAATATTCCTGCTCTTCGATCAGTTGAGTCAAACGAAGCTAATGCATTTATGACATCCATCCGTAGTTCACATGAAATTAAGAAACCCGGGCACACTGACATTCCCAGATATTTGAAAAAGCGGTGGCATTTTAAGGGGGAAGGCTATAATTTGGGAAAGCTCGATCTTTTGGTTAGCTCACAAGCAATGACTTTTGTATTGTTAATCAAGGTTCATTTGGGATCCAAGGGAATGGGGTTAAGACGTCTTCACTTCCTTTCTGTTTTTACCTTTGGTTCGGGGAACAGCCGCAGTGCCGGCGTGGCCTCTGGCAGCTTTACGGGACTGGATTTGGAACTCGGTGACTCGATTTCTGAATCTCTGGCAGCACCAATCTCCTTTCCTTGAAGACAATGGAAGTTCTTTTGCTACTTAGTTAAAACTCCTCCCTTTGTATCAGTTTTGCTACAAATCCTTAAAATGAATCACCTGCTCCATTCCTGTTCATTTCTGGTGTCCCTTCAGTAATTCTGCTAGCTGCTGTTTGATCTGTGGGTCTCTTGGGTAACTTCCTGTGAAAGATTTTGAAGTGAGATGCAACGTTTTTGAGGTCCTTTGTGTTTTCCTGAAGTTAAGATGGTTTCGGGACATAATCTGTTGTAACAACTTCCTGGGGCGATATGTAAACAGAAGCGCTCTCTTGTGTTCTGTTTTATTGCAGACGCTTTCCTAGCTTACAAAATGTTTTGTTTTGGTGTTTTTAAAAATGTTTTGTTTTGGTGTTTTTAAAAAATCAGTGTCCTTATTTTTCCCTTTCCTCTGCAATATCATTATTCATGGGAAGATAAGAAGAGCTAAAGATGGGAATGTGTCATCTTCTGGTTGCGTCTGAACGTATGTCAGCGGCCACGTTCTGTACACTTTCCCCCCTTCCAGGAAGGTGCCTGGACCACAGGAGCTGGCAGGGCACTTCGTACCTGCTTGGTGAATTGGTTTGAGATGAATTGAAATAAAGGCCTAGATGTGTTCTCATGCGAGATGAAAGCTCCTCTGAGGCTTTTGAAAGCTGTAAGCAGTGCTGCAGTGTGGCCGGGTGTTAAAGGCAAACAGGTGTCTTGAAGACACAGTTCAGGCCGGCTGATGCTTTATGGATCAACGCTTCAGTTTCTAGGTCCTGGGTACCAATCGCATAAAACCTTGTACGCCTGTCTGTTTATCCTGAGATGAAATAAATCACTGGGCGATGCCAGCGCTCCTGAAACCTGCGCGGCTGTTCTTGTGTCTTTTCTTAGGAGCGGAGCCCTGGGTGGGGGTCCTTGCCTGGGAATGTGCTCCTGGGGCTGGGAGATTCCGGCCCGACCTGCGAGGCCCAGGACTGGAGTCCCCCGTCTGAATGTGGAGTCTGGGGACTCCGGAGGGTCCATGCAGCTCCGGTTCTAAGCCAGGGGGTCTCTTCATACTCATCAGGTGCATATGAACCCCTTGGTCCCCCCTTTCCTCACCTGTCCCCTCGGCCAGCAGGCTGTGGGCCGCCCCCCGTCACTGCTTCCTGGAGAGGCTGTCCTCTACGACACGATGTTGGTTGTGGGTTAGGAGAGTTGGTGTGGACACAGGAGAAGCAGGGGCCAGGCTGGCGGGGGCGAGGTTATTACACTCACAGCCTGGAGAGGGGTCAGCGCACAGCTGGCTTCGTCGGGGACGCGGCGCAGGGGCGAGGGGAGAGCTGTTCTTAGGGTTCCCGTGAACAGCTGGGCACAGCTACTCTGAACGATCCCCAGGGCTGGAAGGGGCCCCTGCTCCGCCCGGGGTGCCAGGCAGGGGAGATGTTGGCTCGTGTGAGGCAGGGCTGGGGGCAGCAGGGGCAGGATTGGCAGGGCTGGGGGGCGTGGATGAGAGACTGCCCCGTGCGCTTCGCCGTCTCTCAGGAATCCCGGGCCCTGGGAGGAGAGGCTCTCCCGGGTCAAAGCATCACACAACAGAGAAAATAAGAAACGAGGCCTAACCCAACTGTGGAGCCCACGGCCCAAGCCCCACAGAGGGTTGGGGGCCGATGAATGCATCGGGTGAAGCTGGAAGCGCGTCCCTGGGTTCCGCCGCTCCCCCTCCATTTCCCGAAAAACACCTCCTCCCTCTGGCGTCCAGAGGGGCACAGAATTGGGGCCTGAGGGGATTGTCTCGCTCTCCTGCCCTACCCACCAAGTTCAGAATAAACTGAGACATAGGCTCAGCGGTCGAGCAGACACTTAGCAGCACAGGAGGGGAGAGAAAGTGGAATTTGGGTTGACTGACCAAGTGGCTGGTACACGCCACTGGAATCAGGCCACGGGATCCGGGCCTGCAGGTCCACAGGAGTCGGTGGATTGTACACACTAAAAATTTTCCATCTACTGTGATGTTCTGACCTCTTAGGTCCCGCCTGGCTGCGGCGAGATGGCCCCCCTTCGCTGCCGCCAGCCAAGGGCCCAGCCAGGAGCCCGCCTGGGACCTATGCCGACAGCCCGGCCAGGCCGGGCCTTCTCCGCCTGCCCCGCCCCCGGGGAGGTGGCCCGCCTCTGTCCGAAACACCCGGGCCGGGTGCCCGGCGGCTCGGGGCAGCCCCATCGCCCAAAGCCTTGCAAAATCACTAAAACCGGCCAATCGCACGCCTCTTATCTCTAGGGCCCTGTGAGTAGCACGGCATTTTTCATTCAGTGGCTTCTCCGTGCTGTCACTCAGTCAGCTTGGTAAACTAACGCCCGGCACAGACGGACGCCTGCTCCTTGCAGGGGGAGATCCCACAGAGAGAGCCCAGTGCGAGGGGCAGGGCCTGCCCCAAATCCAGCACGCAGCTTCCCCTCCTGCCCTGGGGCGAGGTGGGTGCGGCGAGGTGCAGAGAGACATCAGGAGTACCCCCTGGAAATGTCCTCCGCGCTGGAAGAGGGGAGTGGGGGGTGTCCTCCCCCGGCCTCTGGGGCGGCCGTTTCCTGTGCGTGAGGGGGGGTGAGCCGTGTGCATTTCAGAGCCGGGGGGAGGAGCCTGTCTAGAGGTTGTCCACTGCACCCTGTTGACTTTCGAGCCGGAGTTTAGACGAGTGTGGCAGACGTGGGCTGTTGCACACAAGGTCTCCGTTGCTCTTTGCTCTGACCCTCTGCCGTGCACGGAAGCGTCAGCCGCAGCCGCTTTGGGAGGGGCATGCAGGGTCTGAGACAGGCCAGGGCAGCAGAGGTGGGTCATGGCTTCAGCACCAGTACCGGGCAAGCAGTTCTGACGCACACGGTGGAGAGATGGCCTGAAACCCTGGACAGAAGGGTTCTGTGACGGTGATTCAGGGCGAGGCTCTGATGGGCAGGAAAGGCAGAGGTCGTCTCCTCGATGTGCCTTGGAGTCTGCATCCCTCAACCCTGGAGGAGAGAGCACGCGTCCTTCTGCGCACCCCACTCTTGAGCCGCTCGGCAGCTGCGCCGATTCCATCACACCGACACTCCTTACTCAGCCTCCTGGAATGGAAAGTGTGTAATAAACGCGGTGCACGCCCACTTGTTTGCACTGAACACGAGTATGGACTCCAGTGTTGCTGTTAACTTGTAGGGATTCTTTGAAAATTTACTTTTCCCTCTTGAAAACATTTATTTTTTCATGGTAGGGGATGCTGCTAACAGCGTTGTTCTTCAATAGCGTTTTCCTCTGCAGAAATAGAGTTAAAGCTGAACGTACCCGTGGCTTCATGTTTTTCTCCTGCTGAGTCTTGGGATTTTGATAATCAGTTAAAATGATTTTCTTGGCCTTTGGCATCTCTTCAATTAGATGTAACGGCACAAAACACACAGGCGTCGCAGACAGATGACGAATCTTCTAAGGAAAGTTGGGGCAGACGAAGGATGTGGTGAGAATTCACAGAAGTCTAATATTCCCGCCCAGGGAGAAGGAAGGATGTTTTCTAACCTCTTCAGACAAATTCAGTTAAATCTATTTTTATGAAGATTTCCTTGTGCACAGTTCTTTGGAGGTCATAAACAAAGCACCACATTGAAGACTTCCATTCGGGCTGGTAGGGGGTGTCCCTACCCCGTGTCACTAACTGCAGAGGGGCCTGGGCACTGCAGTCAGGTGGATGCCCCGTAACTGCCTGACTGATTTCCTGCACCTTAGAAGACGCCCCCAGACATTTCAGCAAAGGAAATCAAGCATTTGAATGTACCCAGCCTCATCCCAAAGAATTCATGCTGTAAACACGGTATTGGGGTGTCTCAGAGGGTGGGTACCAACCACTGACAACTGGTCATCAGTGATGTGAACTTGGGATTTCCCTGGTGGTCCAGTGGTAAAGAATCTAGCTTCCAATGCAGGGGACGCAGGTTCGATCCCTGGCTGGGGAACTAAGATCCCATGTGCCGCAGGGCAGCTAAGCCCGTGCGCCACAACTACTGAGCCCACACCTCAACTAGAGAGCCCGCGTGCTGCCACTACAGAGCCCATGCGCTCTAGAGCCTGCACACCACAACTAGAGAGAAGCCCACGTATCGCCACGAAAGATCCCGCCTGCCTCAATGAAGATCCCGCGTGCCACAACCAAGACCCAAAGCAGCCAAAAATAAATTAAATAATAAATAAATCTTTTTTAAAGAGCGATGTGAACGCCACAGAGCTTCCCCTGGGGCTGGTTGTAACTCAGCAGGGAAACCACTGCTGTGGGGTCGCTCGCAATCCATCTGGACTGCGGTTCTGTCTCTTGCTAGGTTGTAGGACAGACCACTGGGCTCAGTAATGTCGCATTTCCTTATTTGTGAGATACGATTCTAACAGGTCGGGTGTGTGCACTTGTCTGTCACGGTGTCCAGCGGGATCAGTGCTTCTCAAGCTCGGAGTCCAGGAGAATCACTTAGGGAACTGCTTAAAAATAGGAATTCCTAGGTCCCAACAGGAGGGAGTCCCACTGAATACGTCTGAGGCGGAGCCAGGGACCTGCGTTTTTAACAAACACCACTGTGGGTCATGGAGCTCCTTGTCTGCTGACATAACTGCTTTCTCACCCTTGCCCAGCACCTGTCCTGGCGGACGCCACCTCGTGTTGTTAAATTCAGATTGCCCCAAAGAGATGGTGTTTGTCACAAACCACACGCGGGATAAAGGAAGGCACAGAGGAACCCCACTTACAGCAGGGGTGTCCCGGACAGCCCCCGAGAACTGCGGTGTCAGCCCAGTCACACTGGGCGGAGACACCTGCTCCACCTGAGGACTGCAGTGGCCCTTCGTGGCAGGTGTGGTGCGCTTCTGGCTGTGGAGACAGCAGCCGACTGAGTAGTCCCTTACACCCCTGCCCACATGCCACAGTGTCCCCGTCATCAGCATCCCCATCAGGTGGGACATTTGCTACCATCGCCGGACCTACAATGACACGCCATACTCACCCTAAGTCCCTGGTTCACACTGGGGTCCACTCTTGGTGTTGGACGTTCTGTGGGTTTGGACAAATGGATAATGACGGGTGTCCACCATGACAGTGGCGTGCAGAGTCGTTTCACTGCCCTGAGAACCCTCTGTGCGCCACCTCTTCATCCCTCCTTTCCTCAACCCCTGGCAACCACTCGTCTTTCACTCTCTCCACAGTTTTGTCTTTTCCAGGATGTCGTAGAGTTGAATCATACAGTCTGTAGCCTTTTCAGATGGGCTTCTTTCGCTCAGTCGTATGCATTGAAGGCTACTTCATGCCTTTTCATGGCTTGAAGGCTCAGTTCTTTTTAGCCCTAAGTAAATACTCCATTGTCTGGATGTATCACTGTTAGTTTATCCATCACCTATAGAAGGACACCTTGGTTGCTTCCAAGTTTTGGCGATTATGGATAACGTGTGCAGGGTTTTGTGTGGAACCGACAGGGTTTTAAACCCATGGGGAGGACGCGGCACGAATCTCACCCTCTGGCCTTTGTCATCTCCCTGGGGACGACCATTTCTGGGATGGCTCTGTCGCTCTCCCACACAGACCCCCTGGTGGCTTGCTAACACACCTCGGTGGACCCCAGACTCCAACCCTGGCCCACAGGGCCCCACGATCAGCTTCTGCCAACCCCTGCACGCCATCCCTACTGTTCCCCCACCTTCACGCTTTTCCAGGCACTCGGGCTGTCTTGCTGGTCCTCACCTGGGCCATGCTTGTGCCTGTCCCACAGTGTTTGCTGTTGTCCCCTCTGCCAGGGCCCTCTGTCCCCACGCCTCCGGCCCCCCATGTCCACCTGTCTCTCTCTCAGTCCTGCCCAGGAGATGGCCTTCTGACACCACCCTCCAACC